GTTTAAAATTTTATAGTCGTATTCATTTAACTAAGAAGTTACATAGAAAAGAGAAGAGTGCAAATAGCAATAAGCCTTCGGTCATAAACCATGAAGGTAGAGAGAGAAAAAATTACATTACATAGAGAGGATCAAGTTCCTCCAAACCACATTCCTATGCAATCCTTGAAACTTGGTTTGTCTTTTAGAGCCAAACAAACATCACAAACCCCTCTATCAATCTTTCTGAACAGAATCTCAGTTGGGAGTTTGTTATTCATAAAAATGCGATCGTTTCTCTGCTTCCAAAGAAAGTAGATAACAGCCTGAGCCATCAGCAACCTCAGATTATTCTCTGCGGCAATGGGGTGTGTTCTTCTAAGCCATCTCTGAAAACATTCCATGTTCCAAAACCCATGAAGGGAGCTTTCAACCTGTGAAAAGCCAATTGCCATACATCTTGACTATATGGACAGTTCAAGAACAGATGGTCCCTAGTTTCAGAGTAAATTTCACATAATTCACAAGTGTCATTCTCTATCACTCTCCAGTTTGCCAGCCTAGATTTTGTAGAAAGTCTATCCAAACAAGCAAACCATATAATATAACGATAATGTATCGATAATATATATATAAACAAAACATCAAAAATTTTGGACCGCAAACACGAGATTGGTTTGCTTGTCCCCAGGACCGGTCTTTGGCACCAAACACTTCTTATTGGTTAATATATAAAAAACAAAAATACAAATGGAATTTGAGGTGGTCAATGAGGAAAAATAAGCGGGCCATCAACATTCGCAATATTGCTTACGATAAGAAGATATCCTAAAATGTCTTATCGTTTAATTATATTAGAAGAAGTATGTTTTATATATAGTTTTGGATAAATGTTTAGGTTTGTACGTAATGGTGTCCAATAAGAAATAGAAAGGACATCTCAACTTATTATGATGTCATGTGCTTTGACATGAATGTTTTTTGGTTTAAGAAAAGTTTAATTATTAGCTAGTCAACTCTTTTATGGTCATCTCCTTATCACCCACACGTGTAATTAATGTTTTTTTTCCTTGCATTCGATTTCCATATAAATTACTCATTGTGCTAATTAGTGTTATCACTAATCCCACTGCCGGAAAAATCAAAATTCAACATTAATCCAACCAATATGGCACCATACAAAGGTCATCATTACCACTAATCAAAAGGAAGCAAGTAGAGGGTAAACATGCCGCCAAAGAAAACAAATAGAAATGGAACGAGTGTAAAGTGAATTCAATCTCAAATTGAATACATAACAGTAATAATTAGAAAGTCAGATTAAAAACTACATGCGTGTCTTCGTTTCGGACAGCCTAAAAAAGAATGTGCGGGTGTAAGGATTAAGGAAGATTAATGATTACTTTTTTTTATGTGAGAAAGATGCATAACCTATAGAAAAAGTGTCTTACATCTTTTTGTGTGTGTTCACAAGTGTTTTGCATTTCAAAATCTATATGATTTTTACTTTTTTTACTATGTGGGATTGAAGTTGAAATTCGCACGTGTGTCCAACATAAAATTAAAAGGAGGTGCAATTTAAATAAAAATTGGTTGTATTAGAAAAAATCGATCTTTACTTAAGAGATTTAAGAAGTGGTTCTTAGATGCTACGTGTCACTCTTCGATTCGTGAATGATTTTTTTACTAGGAAAAACAAATAAACACGCGTATAACGTGTTTATTAAATGCAATTTATTTTTCATTTTATTCAATGCATTAAGTTCTGGGCCGGCCTTGGACTAAAGCAAGTAAAGCATGTGCTTTAGGCGCTAAAATCACCTTATTAATTTGGAGGCAACAAAATTTATGTAAAAGCTTAAGTGGTGCAGTGGTCGCCAATGGATTATGTGAGCGAGAGGTCACGGGTTCGATGCGTAATATTGGATTTATGTCAATAAGTGGGCCAAAAATTTTTTTATTGTTTTAGGTAGCCCATGGGCTAGAGTCGGCACTGATTATGTTTATAAATTTTGAAAAATAAATTCTATTTAATAAAATATTTTTATTTTTTATTATTATTTAGAATCTCTAATAGAGTTCTACCATTAAAAAAAAAATTTATTGAAAGAGTTTTTAAAACATATTTATACAAAATATATAATAAACAAATTGGTTAGAACTTGAACACGCTCTAAGTAAGTGGATTTAGAAAAATAAAAAAGAGAACTTAAAAGAAGAAAAAAAAAGAAGTGGAGACGAGAAGGGCAATGAAAGATTTTGACCAAATAAAGTGTCTGCAAAATTAAATATAGCAATAATAAATGGGTCCACCAACTACTATTCTTTTTCCATATATCATCATCACCTTTTCACTTCAAATAAACTCCATCCATTGTTTTCCAAAAACTTCTTCTTCTTTTGCAAAAGTACAAAGCAAGCAAACCTTAGACCACCTCTATCAAGTGGTTTTAAAATATTATTAGAGTAGTTTTTAAAATAATATAGAAGAGTTTTCAAAAGAGAAAAAAAGATATATAAATTATTTCATTTGACAAACCTCTCTCCCCTTTTATAGAACCATTTCTCATATTTTATTTATATTTTGTTTTATATAATTTTTGTTTAGAACTCTTCTAAAAATTTCAGATGGAGATGCTCTTAGATGTCTTTTAATAATTCACATGTTTTTGTTAATCGATAAATTTAGCATTTCAACCAATAACTTTTAAATACAGTTTTTTTGTTTTTTTTGTTTACAAGTTTACATTAGCTATTCAAATTTTTACATTTTGGTCTTAAAGAGCAGAAAAGAAAAGTTAGACTTATATTTATTACTTCAATACAAAACCATCCAAATTAAAAAGCTTTATAGTTTGTCTTTCTTTATTTTCGAACACATTTAAAAGTACTTATCACATTTAAAAAAAAAAAAAATCATTTGGCTTAGAAAAATTCATACAAAGTATTTAAGTTTGCTATTCAATGGGCTTCAGAAAATAATAGTAGTTCAATTGGGCTTTATCTATTAATACCTCTTCCATTAACGGCCCTCGTATTTGATATTCCAGAACTAGTTTAGTTGATCTTGCTTCAACATTATGCGCATCTGAAACCAATACTGACATATTCACATGGTGTGACCATTTTCTCTTGAAAGCGTAAGTGCACAAATCATGCTTATTGATTTACATAAGCTGTTTAATCAACAAGAATGTAACTAATTCTTCAAGGATATTACAAAGTGATTAACCGTTTCATTGGTCTCCTGTTCAAAAATGGTACTTGAGATGATTTGACACTAGTTCTTCACAACCAACAATCCTGGAACATATACCATCAAAAGAATATGCATAAAAACCGTGATAGATTAATTAACAGGTTGGATTAACCAAAATGTTTAAGATAAAAAAAAAAAAACACAGCTCCACGTGATTGTGCCTCTTTAGCAAAACAATCGTCACATACATGATACATCATTGAAACATGGAATCATATATACTGTATATCTAATACTACCAAAATGAGGTCTCTCCATATAGAATACCATCTCATTAACAGTTTATACTGTATTTTGATTCTTAAATCACAAAGAATTGAATTAATTCACTAAATTTTGGAAACCGAAAGAAGAAGAAAATGTTCATATATATGATACCAAAATGAGCTCCTTCCATATAACGTACCACCTCATCAACAATTATTATATTTGATTAGTAACTAATTTTGAATTATAACTAATCTATTCAATCATTAATCGATGCGGGAAATAGGCAGGCTGCTCAAGCTGTCAAGCCCCAGCAGAGATCACATCAGGTATACTCTGTTTTGTGGATGGAACTCCACCTCATTAAACTGTGGCTTAGGCTGGTTCCGCCTCGGGAGAGCCTTTAGGAGAAGCGGCGATGAAGCAGGCTAAGAGGAGCAAGGGACGGGAAGAACTCCATCTACATTCGGACTCGCAAGTCTTAACTAACCATCCTGAACAAAGGAGAAGAGTTGAATGAGCTTTACGAAATTCTTCTTCTTGAATTTCGTTTGATTACGTTTACTTTTTTTATCCCACGCTTAAACAATCATGTGGCAGATTGTTTGGCAAAGGGAGCATTGAGATCCCTTGAGTACTCTGTTTCTTAGAGTTATCATTATAATAATAAAAAAAAATGGTTAGAAATTCAGAACAATGTAATTTGTTTTTCATGTAATCGAAACACATTATATATATATAAAAAAAAACAAATCATGTATATTTAATCCAAGTGCCATCGTATGGAAATGAACCTAGTAGCAAAATCCAAAAAATGAATCTTGGGCTTCTAGAGTGGCAATACCAATGTCAAACATGATTTACCCATTTGAACTCTTCAAGTTTCTCATATTTTCAACAAAAATGCAATGTCTCAATCTCTAGATTTTATTTTTTTTATTAC